AGCATATCTTAGGATAATTATGGAATAGATGGATCATGGATGTTTATAAATAAGGTTATGAAAGCCGAACCAGATATTGAACTGGTAGAAGGAGAGGTTCGATGTCTGAAGGTTAAACCTGGGTTAAACCGGAGATTCAACCCAGAGGGTCAACTGCATGACCTAATAAATCATAAATATATTTAAAAATGACAATACATAAGATTTACATCTCAATCAATTCATATGTATTTAAATAACTAACACCTAAAATTCAATTTTAATATATGTTGTTTTATCAATGCATTAAAACGTGTATTTCACTTTTAAAAATTAAAATAGTGATATGTTTTATGTGATATGGATGATTTTGGTGATATAAATGTTAAAAAATACAATTTAGGTGTTAGATAAATAAATAAATAAAATTGGGTCTATGTATGTAAATTGAATTTCTTTGTAATAATGATATTTTTGATGTGAAATGAGTGATTTGGGTGGTATAAATATAAAAAAATATAGAATTTAGGTGTTAGATATGTATAATACATAAAATAGGTTGGTATGTATGCCAGTGCTTGTGAACCGAAAGGAGCCGGAGCTGGTTCGTCGGCTCAGGGTTTGAACCGCCAGTTCATTCCTGTTTTTAGCAGTTCTATGTGGCGGGGTTTTTTATGCCAACCGAACCAAACATATGTTAACGATTCAACCGGCCGATCCGGTTCGACTTTCTAAACTTTTGTTAAAAATGTCATTTCTTTTTTTTTATATTGAAGTTTTACTTGTTAGGTGTTAGATGTGTAAATTCATAGGAGTTGAGTGTTATGTACCTCGGGCGCGGGCATGCACGCACACTCGCATGCCATCGTTGCGCTCGCATGCCATCGCTGGATTCAAACTTTGGGGGTTTTGGCCAAAATGATAACCTCAGTTCTTTCCGAAAGAAATAAACTCGAGGAATCAAGTTGGGTTTGGTCATAGGAATCCTCAATTCCCACCTTCTTGTAAAGAACAATAATTTTGGTCCATAATATAATAATGAAATGTCGCTTAAATTAGTTGGATATATATATGGAGATTATTAAAGAGAAAAATTGAAATTGCAGAAGCACTGGCAATTGGTTCTACTGGCTAAGTCCTGGATACTCATGCCACTTGCTAGAATTTCAAATCAATGACATAATGACATTCCATTTGGCATAATATGACATTAATATAATATCAACCCCAAAGTTTAAATGGTCAAACTATATAATGTAGGACAAAAACCATATAATTAACCAGCTCAGTGCTTGATTAAAAGGTCAATGACATGTTATATATTAATTTAATATTCATAATTCATATCTTAAAGCATATATATATATATATATAGATACACATATATATATATCTATATATCTATAGATATATATATGTATATGTCTATTAGTGAAAAAGATAATACATTATTAGATGAGAAAGCTCTCATAATAATTTAACTATGCTTCATGGAAGTGATTTTAATAATGTCCTTGGAAAAAAAATAACTATATAAGATTTGTTATGCATGTGGAGGGTAGTAATGGAGTCGAGTCGAGCCGAGCCAAGGCGAGTATATCATTGTTCGGACTTGTCTTGGTATAATTATAAGTTGTTCATGTTCGGCTTGAGCTTGTGTCGAGCTTCCATACATTATTCAAGCTTGATATGTTTATGTGTTTCAATATTTGAATTTGATTTGTACTTGACTTGTTTATGACAAGTGAATGAGCATTTAAACGAGATAATAAACGTGAGTATTTAAATGAGATAATAAACGAGCAAATAATTTAAATGAAAATCTAGATTTTCTTATAAAAAATTTAATAAATAAATTTGCAATTCTAATCACAGCTACTAATTTGTCGATTATGAACTCTAAAATCATTGAACTTTACTAATTTACTGCATAATTTTTATTGATAGGTACTACACTAGTTCAAATTTGTAAGTGGAAGAACTAAATTGATCATTAATATTAGAGATAAGCATTTACTTAATCATATTAATAAGAAAATAATAAAAATAAAACCATCCACATCAATGTTGTTGGTAATTGTAGTGTAATGGTTATAAAAAATGAACTCATTATATTCAAGGTTATGAAAACTCTACAAGAAAATCTTTTATGACACACTTTTTAACTGTAAATATCTGATTCTAAATTACAATTAATTTATTAATAAAATTAATATATAGGTAATAATTAAAGTAAAAATATTATTGATATAATAATATTTTACTATTAAATTTTATTTAAATAATATATCATATATATAATATGAGTTATTATCAAGCTTAATTTTGAGTATTTAACAAGTTACTTGTTGAATGACAAACGAGTTTTTTCGTGAACGTAAACGAACAAATTCAATTATATTTAAGTTCTGTTCATCTAAGCTTCGAGCTTTTAAAAATTTGTCAAGCTTTATTTATTTACTAATTTGAACGACCGTGATCGAAATTTAATCGAGTCAAGCTCAAGTTCTTCATGGAGTGCATAAGTTCATTCAAATATTGAGATTATATTTATTTCATATGTAAGAAAATATATTTATCAAATCACATTTTAATGAAGTTAATTCCATTTTTAAAATTTTGAGAAATTTTGATGTGATTATTTAGCTTGAATTTCAAACTTTATTCATATCATGCTCTTTATCTCCTTTTATAAGCATTTTCATGACACCATGTCAAATATGAGAAGCATGATAAACTTAGAGGATGTCAAATTAACTTTTTACTAAAAACATAATTTCTAAGCTTGCAAATATAATGCATATGAAGCCCACTAAAATATTAGTTTAATTGAGGTTGATTGCTTCTCGTTAGATCTTCCTATAAAACTTGTCTTGTGCTACACAAGTCTCTCATAGGTACTCAAACCATATAACATTTAAGTTTAGTGAGCCTTAAAGGCTTTTTGGCTCATCATGAAGAAGTTTGTCATGTAAGAGAGTTGAGTTTCGCTTTATTATAATCAAAAAGCAGATTTAATTATTTTTTTGCTTAATATGTATGTATGTATGTGTGTGCGTGTGTGTGTGTGTGTGTGTGTGTGTGTGTGTGTACATGAATTTGGTTGTTCTGCATATCCCGGTCTGTTGGTTGGCATTAATGAGTCATTTGTAAACCCCCTGATGTCAGGGGTTCGAATCACTCTTTGGCGAAGGTCGCTTTATGGAGGAAGGTGCTTGAATTTTTAGACACATTAGAGGTGGTTGGAGACTCATATAATAACCTCTGGCCATTTTATTTAATAAAAAGAAAAAATATGCATGAATTTGGCAGAACTTATATGAAAAGACTAAAAATCACTAGACATGATCTATAGAAGGGAGAATGCACATTTATTTAAAATTATTTGGGTGGTTAAGCTACTAAATAGGGTTAATATTTGGTAGTGAGGAATTCAATTAAGCACAAAAGAGATAAATTTGATAAACTAAAAATATTTAAAACAACGTAAGAAATTTAAGGAGTTCAATACAACAACTTTTATTCACTATTGGGAGAGGGGGTTAAATTCCTTAATTTGAATAAAAAGATAAATTCCAAGTAGCTTACAATTTATTTTAGGGGTGATCGCATACAAGACACCCAAAATATTGCTATTTACAAATCAATTAAGCTCCCTCTTTCATCCATTTTTCAAATTCTCACCTAAATATCAAAGGTCATGATAAAATCCCAACCCATATTTTTCCTTTTTATAAAATTCACAATGATTTGATCATGACACTCGTAAATGCATTTCATAGTTCAAAAAATCAAGAGAACGCTTGATTTGTAAATTATAATGTCTTTTGTGCATTGTATGTGATTTTCTCTTTATTTTATATATCTTAAAAATCTTAAATTTATAAATGACCAAACTTTTATTATAATATTCATTTTCCTCCACTGAAAACTTGAATAATGAGATATTTATATGGTGGAAAAGGTTTTGTCAACTAGCTAATTTGGAGGATATATGAGTAATGGGACATGTGCCTAATGGGCAACAACTTCATCATATGGAGAATATAGAGTTTAGTGTTTGATGGGTTATTGTCCTCAAGATTGATGTTAATTCATTACATGAAGTTATTTTAGGGTTTAGAGAGTCTTTAGGTTGTGCCTAATGGTGCACATGAGAAATGGTCTCATAATATCCTTCAAATAATTAAGCTATGATAATTATTAAAATGCTTGGTCAATATATAACTTAGCCTATTGAGGTGATGGCCTTTGAAAATATTATTTCAACTTTATTAACTAAATGTCAACAACTCCCTCTGCCGCTAATTAGTTTCACCGCATTCGTAAGCCCGCTGATCGAATCTAGAAATTTCAATTTAGTTGGAGCATTTTCACATGTATGCAACTAATTTTTTTTTTCTTGAATTTTTTGTTTTAAATCTCGTGTGTCACCAGTTCTGCAAACCATGAAATTTTTTTATCAATCAATACAAATCTTCCAACATGCAAAAACAAATCGAATAAAAAAATTGCTCTTGCATAATATAACCAATTTGACAAATGACACTGATGATAAAAATGTAATTGTAGAATATAAGAGATTTATTAGATGCTTCCATCCATAATTCATCCTCATTCAAATTCAATTAAAATGAATTTTTTGCATTCCTCAACTTATTTTGAAATGAATCCAACTTTATAATCAATCAATTAAAAAAATTATATTACAATGATTTTAAAATCAATTTTACTCATAATAAAACTAAAAATATTTTCCAAAACATTAGAAGTAATTTACTTTTGAAGGCAGAGAATAAACAGAATTAACAACACTCCGTCACGAAAAGTTGTTGCGTGCGGATACTGCACTTAAATTTTGCCCGCAGTGTTAGATCAGGACAGTAAAAAATTTTAGAATGGGCTCACTCTAATATAAAAAATAAAAAGATGTATTTCAGTTATTCAGATTGGACAACTCACATAAATTTAAGTGTCTTACACTGTAAGCGCCGCTCCATCACCACCCACATCTCCCCAAACTATGTTGAAGCTAGAAGGGTCTGAGATCGACAAACCGGGCATGTAGAATGCCACCGGAACCACATATCAATACAGCCCACGTGGAAGCAGTGCCCGCACTCCGGCAAATATCGAACCGCCTCCCCCTCCTCAAACTCCGACAAACACACCGGACATGTCGTCTCCTCTCCGCCGCCGCCGCCCCCGCCGCCACCGGCGGCGACGGCTGTTTCACCGCCGACTAACTTCAGTTTCTTAAAACTTTGTGCAGGAGCAATCAACTGAGCAGTGGACAAGTCGATGGACAGACTCATGTCGGCTTCTGTTGCTACGGCGGTGGCGGTGAACTCCGGCGACATATCACGGCCTTGCCGCTGGCGATAGATTCTGGAGATGCAGTGGTAAATTGTGACCAAAGCGGCGGTTAGAGAAATGCTGATGAGGAGAAGAAAGACGGAGGAGCGAGAGTTGCGTTGTTCTCTGTCCATGAGATGGGAGGAAGAGTTGGAGAAAAAGCTTCCATTGTTTTTCAACAGTGATGAATTTGGAATCATTTAATCGTCCAGGTGCCGTCCGGAGGATTTGTTTATTTATTTTGTTATTTTTATTGCATGGAAATCTGCCGTTCTGTCGATTTGATTATGTGAACGTGAATTGACCTGCGGGCATGCACGAATCATTAGATTTAATGGATAAAAAAGTATAAAGAACTACGATTAAAGAGGGCCCACGAATAGAAGAATAATGATCTACAGATGAAAGACTAAAGATCCATTAATAGAAGACCAAGGGTCTGTCAGTTAGCAGCATATGGAAAGACATGTCTGACCAGATGCAGCCCCCTTGAACCGGGGTTAGAGGCTGATTGAACGTAGACCATCTGAACTAAAGACCAAGGCCAATTTAGCCAAACAGAGGCACTGACATGTCTCTCACCACAACCCAACTTAAGAAAAGAATTTAGCATTGTTAGATATCTCATATACGCCCTTGAGATTTCTCGTTGGGGCTGAGAGTTGACGATGGTATATTTGCATAGAACATCAGGAAAGTTCGTCTCTTTAAGCAGTGAGCTATCTATTAGATTATGATGATTCACTGTCTGCATAATAGCCTAGCCTTGCTCTGCCGACAGGAGTTCATTTTCCGGGGATTAATAGAAGGCAACTAGACTAAAGTATTGATCGACAAAGCCAAGTCGATCGATCAAGTATTGTTGGCTCGAAGACCATCAAGAGCCGACCAATAACCCCAATTCAATACAATCGGACAAACATGTCTCTCCAAACCATGACCTGCCTGATCTTCGAAGTTCGGGTCATAGGATACCAGAACCACATGACCCATACTCGTGAAATACAAAAATATCATGTAAAGCCCTCAGTAAAGCAAGAACGGATATGCAATTTTATATATTGTACCCCCTCCTCTATAAAAAAAAAATGATCCTTTCTTCAAAAATGACTAATTAAGAATTCAGCTTACTCTTCATTATTGTGCACTTCCCCATTGTGTCTATCTTTGTGATTCACGAAGTATCCCTATAAAAAATATCACCATTTTAGCTTCTAAAATGTAAAGTACACGTGTTAATGCACAAATAAAGTATTATGTATGTAAAAAAATCAAATTTTTGTAAAAAAAAAAAAATGTAAATATTTACAAATTAATATATTAAGAAATGGCGAAATCCCTGAAAATAAATAATTCAAAATTGTCAATTTACCCTAAACATGATAAAGATGATTTGGACATAGGTCAAATTTTTCATAAAAATTAAAAAAAAAATTACATATTTAACACGTAATTCTTATGTTTTTATATATCTAACATCTAAACTTTCATATTTACATTTATCACACTTTATACTGTCATGAACCTTCATATTAAAAGATGTGTTTCAGTTATAGGAAGTTAGTAATTATGGTATTTGAATACATGCTGTTAGATTTGAGTGCTATATATGTAAATATGAAAGTTTATTTGCTAGAAATGTAAATACTTAAGAATTATGTGATATGTATGTAAATTTATAGGTAATAATTAGTTTTAATTAAACTGGACATCACCATGAAACAAATATGTTAACACCACAAGCAATCAAATCGGGCTACAAAAAGACACCAATTATATTTGAAGAATAGTTGATATCTTCAAGACATGATTTAAGGAAAAAATTTCATCTTAAAATTTTTTAGTGCTTAATTAAGATAAAAAATGTGTGTCTCGATGAGACAAATTCAAGTGCAAGTTCATTTCTTTCTAGCAACATTAAAGCACTCAAATATTTAAAAAGTACTATGTAATATAAGGTGGTCACTCAACGTCGTTCGATAAAATGTTTTGAGATTTTGGCTACATTCATCAAAAACCCACACTCAAAAATTATATATAAAGACGCATTTCTTACATGATGGGGACCTAGCTAGACTTGAACTTAAAGCTCAAAAGTTTGAACAACTCTACCCGAGCACCGCTATAAAGTCATTACTCAACTTTCATCTTTCACTTAAACATCACAATCTAGCAACCATTGCCCAACTATGGTCCCCTTAATCATCATCACTTAATTATAGTCTCTAAGCAGTTATCATATAACCACAATCTTTCAACTTTAGTCTCATAATTGTTGTGAATCTATTATAACCTCATGGGCAATATCGTTAATTATCATCACCAACTACAATCTCTTGATCATTATTATCCAACTATGATCTTACAATTATCGTTGCCAAATTTTGATTTTTTAATCATTATCACCTAATTATGCTCTCATAATCATTTCCACTCAACTATGATCTCATGATTAATGTCTCCCAATTAATATATCCTGACTATACTTTCCGATCATCATGTTTTGACTAAAATCTTGAAACTATCGTAGTCCAACTAAAATCTACCATTCACCGCTGTCAAATTATACTCTTCGGACCAACATTGCTCATTTATAGTCCCATGAATAAAATGACCGAACTACAATCTTTCAACCACTATTGTTTAATTGTTGTCTCCTTACAACCATCTCTCAACTAAGATCTTTTGACCAACATCAGCTGATTATGATATTCTGAACATCGTCACCTGATTATACTCTCCTAACCATCACCACTTAGCTGCAATTTTTTAACCACCATCATATGACTATGGTCTCTTGATCAACATTTATTCAAGTTAGTGGTGGCCTTTAATTTTCAACGGTTCGCCTTCAAATTTATTCAAATCAATGGTGACCTTTAATTTTCATAATTTTGTTCTCAAATCTATAGTTTGCCTACGGTTATCTAGAATGCAATATCATGGAGATCTATTAGATTTCTGGAATGATGTTGAGTATTTTATGCAAGCAACATCACGCCTTCTTACTTATCTTTTAGATGGTAGGTTTTGATGTCCACATACAAAATAAAAGAAATTAGACATGGTAAGAAATTAGACATGGTTAATGTCAACATAAGTTAAATTGAATTCATATTGTAGAGAATTTTAACCAAATTATATTTTACTTTCATATGGTGAGTATGAACCACATAGTGATTCTTAGTTGGTGCTTCAACATACTCTACTTCTCCAAATGAGTATGAAACTAGTACTTTTGAAGAAATAATGTCTGAAGTAATAAGAGTTTATTTTTTGCTAGAAAAGTGGAGGTTAAGCAGCGAAACACAAAAGCTCAAAGGCTCTATGAACTATTGAACGCCACACAATTACCATTGTGGGAAGGTGTCATGAGCTTTCTTGAATTGTTTTTGGTTGTTAGAATATCAAGCATCGAAATTGAATATAATGTCTCAAGAATGCTTCAATCAAATTGTAAGAGTAGTAAAAAAATACTAATTTAAAAGAAAAAAATTTAGACTTGTATAAAACCAAAAAATTGGTGTCCAATTTAGCTTTAATAAAAGAAGATAGATTGTTGTGTCAATACTATAAGGATGATTCAACAGAGACTTAATGTAAATCTTGTGGCACTTCAAGATTCAAATCACATAGCCAAAATAAAAAATAAATAAAAAGAATAAAATAAAGTTTCATACAAGTGTGTCTTCTACTTGTCACTCACTGACTTCCTAAAATACTATGTTTTATGCATACCACATTATCTTAATCTGCAGATCAAGCATTATTTGAGACTAAAGTGTAACCAACTTGCATGATATATTTACAGACACACACAAGTAAAGATAGCGGACTCTCATGATTGAATAGGATGAATAAACATCCCAGACTCTCATGATTGAAGAACATGTTTAACATTCTCACATAATAATAATATTCTTATATATTTTTTTATTAATTTTGTATGTTATATTCAAAAAAATGTTAAATTTTATTTTCATTTGAGCTAATTTCAAACTGAATATGAGTTGAACGAGTAATCAATTTCAAATCGAGCTATGCAATGGCTTATAACAGAAAATTGTTATAATTTTAAAAATAAAAGTTTAGATATTATGTATGTAAATACATAAAAATTGTGTGGTGTGCATGTAAAATGCCCTATTTATTTAATTTTTTTTTTGTTTTCTTATTAAAATCATTATGTTGTTATTATTGTTTACTTATTATTATATCATTATTATTGCTGACTTGCATATGAATGAATAAGAAAATAAATAGATTGGGGCTTCTTAAAATATTTTTATCATTGAAATTGTCAATAAAATATTAAATTTTGAGTAAATTTTAAATATTTAATATTTAAATAGTGGGTCATTTACATGGCTATCACATAATTCTTATATATTTACATATCTAATAAATACATTTTTATATTTACATATATTGATATATAGCATTGAATTCTTAAGATCACTTTAAATATATTATATTACTATTCTTCTCGTGTATATATTTATAATATCAAAATATTATAAATATAAATATCAAAATTATAAACATTAAATATATAAATACATAAAAAATACATGATAAATATGTAATTTTTTCTTAAATATTATGTATAGCATTGCCATTACAAGGGAAAACAGAAAGATAGTTGCCGTTACTAACGGCGACGGTGGAAGGCAATTCTGAAGACGGCTGTTTGACGGCCAAGCTCGCCTGCCGTCTGGGCCGTCTCCTTCTTCTTCGCGTTTTCTTGCTTCTCGTTCTATCCCCCGATTCGAGCGAACGTTATGAGGAAAGTTCGCGGCTCTGATTACGGCGGCGGAGCATTTCTTCTCTCCGGCATGCATACTATTGCTACGGCCTCCGTCCTCGCCGAGGTAACCATCTCGAAGCGATCGCAGTCCTGCTAGGGTTAGGGTTGTCTCTTTTTTCATATACTTGATTTATAAAATGCTTTTTCTGGTTTGTCCGATTTGATTTCCTACTGTTCATGATTCGTTTTTATAGTCTGCTAGGGCTTTTCAATTGCTAAATGTGGGAACGATTGACATATGTATGTTATACAGGCTTTTCTTTCTTTAATTTTACTGGATTTTACGGTTAAGTTTGGTTAGGTATTTTGTTTGATTTGTTCATCTGGTTGATAAATTTTGGGGTATTTACGGAATGGAATTGTGAGATTTTTCTGTGGGATGCTTTTCTTGATGACGGTGGAATTCATAATCCACCAGACGGATAGGCATCAGAGGAGGAGTAGGAGCGTCTTGGGAATAAATCAAATGGACTATTGCAGAGTTCACAAGGAGTGAAAACCTTATGGGCGAATCCCTGCTCGCTTCTCTCTCCATGGAGAACCACGACCCCTCCACCCTTCTCTCCATGGATCCCACTGGAGGTTGCCCTTTTCTGACCGCACCACCTTCTTCGTCCCATGAAGATTTTGACCGTGAGATTATCCAACGTCAAATTGTACTTTATGGCCCACCGGACATTAACCTCCCAGTTTCATCAGATCAATCTTCTTCCCAGTTCGACCACTGCGAATTGCTTGACGTTGGCCTCGGAACCCAGTTCTACGAGGCTGATTCCACTGTCATAATCCCTAAGCCTGGTTCTCGAAAATGTGGAAAGCGAGGAGATGCCATATGGGGTGCCTGGTTTTTCTTCAATTTCTATTTCAAGCCTATCCTCGCTGAGAAATCCAAAGGAAAGATTTTAAGGGATGGATCTAGTTTCTCTGGATTCGAGAAATCAGACATTCGGCTCGATGTATTCTTGGTCCAGCATGACATGGAAAACATGTACATGTGGGTATTCAAGGAAAGAGCAGAAATGGCTCTCGGGAAGATGCAGCTGAGGAGCTTCATGAATGGCCACTCTCGTCATGGTGAGCCTGAATTTCCTTTCAATGTTGAAAAAGGTTTTGTACGATCCCACCGGATGCAACGCAAGCAGTACAGGGGCCTTTCTAACCCGCAATGTGTTCATGGGATTGAGGTTGTGACTCAACCCAATCTTTCAGTTCTTCCTGAACCTGATTGTAAGAAATGGGCAGAGCTCACTGGAAGAGAGCTTAATTTCTCAATTCCACCAGACGCCAGTGATTATTCATCATGGAGGAATCTTCCCAGCACTGAGTTCGAGCTCGAGAGGCCACCACCTCTGTTAAAACCCATGACTCTCAATCCACATCAGAAGAAACTCCTTAATAGCTCGGGATTGAACTTGTCCGCCCAGCCATCAAATCATTCAACTCCTGTAGGAATAGACCTTTCATCTTCTGGCAGCAAGCGCAAGAAGGATTATTTTTCTCATGGAATGGAAGAAGACTACTGCTCTCCTAGCAATTCTAACTCAGATAGAGCTATAGATATTGAGATGAATGTAGTTGATCCTCCATGGCTGAATGAGTTCACTGGCGTCATGAGACAAGCTTATGGACCTGTTACTGCTGGAAAGACAATATATGAAGACCATGAAGGGTATCTTATAATGGTTAGTTTACCTTTTTCTGACCAACAAAGGGTGAAGGTATCTTGGCGGAACACCCTTACACATGGAATAGTTAAGATACTGTGTTTCAGTACTGCTAGAATGCCTTATATAAAGAGACATGAGAGGACTTTTAAGTTGACAGATCCTTGTCCCGAACATTGCCCTTCTGGAGAATTTATAAGGGAGATACCTTTAGCTACCCGTATACCTGAAGATGCTCAATTGGAAGCTTATTATGATGAAACTGGAGCTGTTCTTGAGATTATGGTGCCGAAGCATCGTGCCGGGTCCGAAGAACATGAAGTTAGAGTGTCCATGCGCCCGCCACATCTTGTTGATCCGTTAAACTTCTGTTGAGGTTAGAAAGTTGGGTAAAGCATGTGTGTGGGTGGCTGATAGGTTTAACTACTGTTATTTACCATATGCCGTTAACAAAATAAAAATTGCTTTATTTGTGAGCTTGATTTATCGTACACAAGCTTGATAAATACTATTTTATTATTTTGGTGCATTGTGTGGGGAAATTTTTTAATTTGATTGTGTTGACTCTTATAGTTGTTAATTTATTTTGAAATGGGCATATAAGTTGTTTAGTGTTTATTTTCTAGTAAATCAGATCATCATGTCAGATTTAATTTTTTTCTTTATTTACTGCAAGATCAATATTGCTTTTAGAATATATGTATCAGTTTTGTGTTGCTTTTGAGTTTAGTAAGCTTCTTTTAACTGGACAAGTGTCTTATGTTAAGAGGTATCTTTTAATTTGGGTGAGTGATCTTTGACAAGTTGTTTTGAGCAAGCGACACTCAGACCCCCGACTTCACCAGCCCTTAGCAGTTTTATTGGGCCTCTTTGGCTTTAGTTTAAATTTTACGTATAGGCATACATTAGTTTTTTATTCTTTTGATTTCTTTGGCGAATGAGTAGGAAAAAGAACAAGAGTTAGTAAAACATGTACCATTATCATTAGTTCTTTGGATTAGCAAAAATGAGAATGGTATAATTGACTGCATGCTTGATTCTTGTGTCGTAGATAATTTCTTTTTTTACTACTTGAATAATGGTGGTGTTAATTTCTTCATTGACTACTTGAATAATGGTGTTGTTGTGACTCCTTTGCTCGCTGGTGGTTATGGCTAGACCTGGGCATTGGGTGGGCAGAGTTTCGCGTGCGTTCGGCTTATTCAGGCTTTGACTGGTCAAAGCGAGCTCGATTCGGGCTTGAACCCGAATTCTATTTATAATTTAATAGTTAGGCTTTCCCACTAAATGGGTCGGGCCGGCCAGCTGGTCGCTATGGGCTTTAAAAGAAAAATAAATTTTTTATACAAAAAAATAAATAAATAATAAAATTTTAACATTTTCTTTTGGATCATTTTGTTGATTTAAAATATAAAAAAATGTAATATGAACGTTTGAAACATGAAAGGACGTGCAACAAGAGTTTTAAATTGTTTTTATATGTACGAATTTTTCTTATACATTTAAGTGAATTTAATAGCAAATGTATACACACAAAATAAGTAGGATCTTAAACTGATAACATTTCAATATGTAAATACAAAGGAGTTGAGTAAAATACCACAAAATAAGATTTTCATACATACTATTCATCAATTTTTATGTAATTGCATATCTAACGCCTGGACTTAGTTTTTTGCATATTTGTCATCTTATATATGCATGAAAGTTGTGTTTCATATAAAAAATTTTTAAAAGTTATAATTTTTATGTTATATAAAAGATTTGGTTGATATTAATATAAAAATTAAAATTTATGGCTAAATAAAGAATATAAAGGATGAGGAAATTAATTGCCTCAAAAGCTTGCATCGAAAAATATATTTATGAGGTTGGACCAATGGGCAGGCCAGGTTTGGCGCTGGTTGGGCTCATTCGTGCTTTGACTAAGTGAAAACGTGCTCGGATCGGGCTGAGCCTAAAAAATTTTAAATTTTTTGTAGCCAAGCCCGCCCATTCTATGCAAGCTTATAGTGAGCCCTTCAGGCAGCCTGCCCAATGCCTAGGTCTAGTATGGGCATCTATAAACATAAAAAAAAAATTTACATAAATATCACAATTCCTTTGTATTTACCCGTCTAACACCTCAAATTTGATAGCATTTTGGTATTAGAAACTTTTACTTGAAAAGATGTATTTCACTTTTAAAAATTAATAATAGTGTTATTTTTTATGTGATGTCAAATATTTGAGTGGTATGTATGTAAATCTATAAATTAAACTGTTGGCTGTGTAAATATAGAAAAATTTTGTGATGTGGATGTAAATGCCCCTAAATATAATCAGATCCATTTCCTTCCTATTATTCAATTTCCTCTTTCTTTGTTGTCACTGTCTTAATTGTTTTGCTACGGTCATGGCGCTTCCCTCAAAAATAGCAGATATTGAAAACTGCAAGTTGCACCTAAACATCCTTCTTAAAAAAAATAAGCATTGGAGAGAGATGAAGTTAAGAAGTCAAATTGACCTACATAAATGAAAGCAAGAAATTTTGTGTGGAGCGACAAGAGTTGAGCAAGGGAGGATCTTTATCTCAATCTTTATCGCTGACCCTTTATAAATGTGTTCGACAACTTTTTAAAATACTCCCAATGAGTCTGGTGACGGACTCAAGTGGCTTCAACTTAAGTAACTGTTTCGTAAAGAGGTAGAGGAATGTAACAAAGTGATTACAACTTATGTAACTTACAAGTGGGATCAATGAGTGCTTTGGATCCTCCATTGGTGAGAGCCGAGCAACGGGTTTCCTTGAAAGGTTAGGCTATTCAATCTACTTCAAGAGCTTTAAGTGGGCCACTCCGTCTGGTCTTATAATGCATATGATCTTAAGTGAGCTCATGCAACTCTCTTAAGTTTGGTCTTTGACTCTGATTCTTGGATAAACAATTTGTGGCGGCAACTTGTTGAGGTTCCATTTGATTTTTTTTTTTTTTTGAAAACTGTTTTTATTCTTGGCATTTCAGTTAATGTAATTGATATGATTTGAATAAGGTGTCTTGGAGGTAACATTGGGGAGCAGGCTGGCAGAATTAGTTGTAGTCTCTTAAGAACTAAAGAACATATTCAAGGGGCTCACAACACCACTTTCCCAATATCTTGGTGGCTGAGGTTGCAGAACTATGACCTTTCCTATCTTCTATGAACGAAAATATACACACTTTTTTAATGATCAATTATTTTATTTTTGGGACCTATCATTGGGGATGCACAAGAGTGTGCAAATTATAGATGAATTAAGTTGATGTGTCATAGTTTGAAATTATGGGAGAGAGTAATTGAACATAGGTTAAGTCATGATACAATGATTTCTTATAATCAGTTTGGATTTTTGTCGAGCAGGTCTACTATGGAAGCTATACATTTATTGAGAAATTTGATGGAGAAGTACATAAAGATTAAGGAGAATCTACATATGGTTTTTATTGATTTCGAAAAATCTTACGATAAAATTTCAAGAGAAGTCCTTTGGAGAGTTCTAGAGAAAAAAATTTAATTTGATTTATATTCAAGTCAATAAAGATATGTATAATAGAGTTGTTACTTGTGTTCGAATAGGAGGATTCACAAACTATTTTTCTCTTTTAGTGAGATTAAATCTAGGCTTTAAGCCCATATCTTTTTGCTTTAGTTATGAATGCTCCTACTGGACATTTACAAGAGGATGTTACCTTAGTGTATACTTTTTGCTTATGATCTCCTTTTTGTGGACAAGACTAGAGAAAGAGTTTGGGATAAACTTAATTATCGAGGTCTACATTGGAGTCTAATGGCCTTCTTCGTTTGAGTATGTCTAAACTGAATACATGGAATGAAATTTTAGTGATAGTAGCTTTAGTGGCAGAGTTGTAATTATGGGTGATCGAATCATTAAAAGGTATGAACGTTATAGATATCACGGGTATATTGTTCAATATGACAGTGATATAGATGGGGATGTTATTAGTAGAATTCAAGTTGGTTGGTTGAAGTGGAGGAATGTAATGAGCCTATTGTGTGATAGAAATGTATTGCTTGGACTGAAAGGAAAATTTTATAAGATGGTGGTTAGACCCGCAATGCTCTTGTGCGCATAATGTTGGCCTTTAAAAAAGAAGCATAAAACAAAGTTAAGTGTTGCTAAGATGAGAATGCTTAGGTGGATGAGTGGCTTGACACTTAGAGACAAATTGTGAAATGAATATATTCGTGATAGGGTTGGCGTAGCTCCAGTGGCCGACAAGATTAGAGAGAGTTGTCCATAGTGATTTTCACACTCCTAAGGGAACTTCCATTAAAATTACTTATTTCACTTTTATCCTACACATTTTAAGTTTAATGAAGTTACGGGCCTTCTAAAGAAGTTGTCCTGCATTAGCAAGTATCGGGCTACTTTGATTATAAGTATCTATCAATTTATTATTAGGAAAAAAAAATTTTTCTTCTATCTTCAACTAATTGTTATATGACTTTAGCTTTCTTTACTGTGAGTATGAGACATTTTCAAGGCCAGTCAATCGTCTGTGTCTCATGTTGGAGAGTAAGTCAACGAGTTGATTCTTTTCTTTTAGGATTTGCTTGATTCATGAAGTATTCAATGGGCAACACTAAATAGGACGCAATGGAGAAAAAGGATTCATGTAGCCGACCCCACGTAGTGGGATTAAGGCTTTGTTGTTGTTGTTGTTGTTGTAAAGTCTCTCCTTGAACTTCATGTTGCCCATTGACTTGGTTTATTGTGAGATACAAGTATGGGAATACACTTAAATGTTTCACCCCATTTATAGTGATAAATGTTAGTCCCACAGTCAAGGTCTTTTATTGAAACTTGTGAGTTAGTTAAAACCAATTCTAACAATATTAACAATGACAACAACAACAAGCCTTTATCCTACCAAGTGGGGTTAGTTGCATGAATCATTTTCCTCCATTTTGTCCTACTGAGTACCATATTTTCATTTAATTCTAATAAATTAGGATCATTTTTTATATAATATGTCAGTCTTTTTAGGTTTACCTCTACCTTTCTTAACATAAGTCAAATCTAAAATATCTACTCTCTTAACTAGGGTCATTAAATGGTCGACAATTAATGTGACCAAACCATCTAAAATGACTCTTTCTAGTCTTGTCTGCTACTGGAGCTACTCCAACCCTCTCAAAGGTATATTCCTTTCGCATTTTTTTTCTAAATATAAAGCCACTCATCAACCTGAGTGTTCTCATCTCAACAACACTCAAACTTAATTTTATGCTTTTCTTTTACAGACCAACATATGATAGTAAAATTTTAAGTAAGCTTTTCAGGATCCTTCTTCCTCTGACTCTTTGTATTCTAGAGTTGAGATCAATATACAAGGTTCAATTGATCTTGTCCATTCGTGGCTTATTTTTCTAACTTCTGTGAGAGTGAAGTCCACTAGGAACTTAGGGAATAATTTAGCCTTGATCGTTGGCTGTGTTGTGTAAATAATCTAGGACTTGGTCAACTCCATAGCTCATATTAATAACCTTCCTGAATGGTTAAATTCACCAAGTA